CCAACAAACATATTCACACAGTCACTCACAAACTTCACATTTGCATACATATAATATTAGTGGGAAACCGTTATAACTATTTTATTTTTTCGCTTCATTTCGCGGAATTCCAAATAATGCAGTATTTCAGTGCGGCAGCTTACTTTTTTCACTTTGCACTTTTATAAGCACTGCTTTGTTCTTGTGGCAGTCCTACGCAAATATATGTATATATTTATGTATTTAAGTTTTGAAGATCTTCTTATACAAACTGTTGCTTATTTTGCTTATTATCCTGCTTATGAATCTATGAAACCATAAAATAAAGAAATAACCTATCATACTTTTTGTTTTTCTCTCTCACCTACGCTACTACAACACACGTGCCGTTACACTGTTTCTTTTTTCTCCTACCTGTCTTTTTCAATTGCAAAACCATATTCGCACCTCAAACAACCAATCAATGAATCTAACAAACCCCATCATAGTACCAGATGATCTACACAGCTCACGTCGCCGTTTGCAAGATGTCGATATCAATCGTACGCTCGATCGCTGCTACAGTGTGATCGAGGAGTCTAGCAAGATACTAAGTGGCAGTGCTGCATCGGCGCTGGCGCATCGTAAACCTTTAAGCGCCTCCACCATGCAACTTTCCGTCACAAGCTATTTGAGTCGCTTCATGAAGAGAAGCGTCTTCGAGAAAATTCGCCTACGACAAACACGACTGGATCACAATCTTTTCGATGTTATTTGGCCAGCAATGCGCAAGACCTCGATACTTCGTCGCCTTGAAGAGGACATAAATTGTGGCATCATTGCACCAGACTTCGATGTGTTTGTCGTGTTTCAGGAATTTCTTGTGCCACTCATCAAGGATATGCATTGCATGAGCGTCAATGAAGATTTTAAACCACATCCGCGTATCGCCTTCTTTCCCATGGAGAATGGCGTGCGGCTAAATACTGCCGCATTTATTTTCGACGATGAGCCAAATTTGATACAACGCTGTAGCGTAGAGTGTTCGCGTAACTTGGAACAATTTGAATTGCCGTTAAACTTGACCATAGGACAGGTGGAGCAAGCCGAACGCATGGTGATGGGTAAAATATTTACTAATCAATTCGTTGATGCGATCGGCGAAACGGAGTCGGGCAGCTACTATACGTTGACGGAAATACTCGAGGAGAACTCCGAAATACGTGCAACACTAAGCAAATTGGGGCTCATGATACCGCTACCCGATACGACAGATACCGTTCAGGCCGCAGAGTCAGTGGCTTTCAATGGCAGCCTCTGGCCATACGGACGTGGCGTTTATATCAATTCAGCAAACAATTTAGCGCTTTGGCTGAACTGTCAGGAACACTTACGCGTTATTGCAACTTCGAGTGAGGCGAATGCTGCCAATATGGGCGCCGCTTACACACGTGTCGGACGCGTCATACGCTTTCTAGAGCGTGAGCTGCACTTTAAGGAGAGCTACTTTTTGGGTTATCTACAGGCGCGTCCATCTTATCTGGGCACAGGTTTGAAATTTATAACAACAATTAAGTTGCCGAATCTCATGAAAGAGGTGGACAACTTGCGGCATCTCTGTTCGGTGCGCGGACTCAACTTGATTACGAATTTTGCGGCAAAATCGGAAGTACAATTGGTGAATATGCAAAGTTTGGGTGTAATTGAGTATGTGCTCTTTCAAGACTATTGCACAGCTGTGACCAATATTGTGTCGCTGGAGAAGGATATGTCGTTGACGAATTCGAAGCACATCGCCTCAATGCTGGTGAAAATATTCCGTCGCAAGAAGAATAGTTTAGTGGAGCGCAATTAGTGATATTGCGCTGAAGGAGTGGGAAAAAGAGAAGGGAAGCGAAGAATATAATTTAGAGGCCTGGAGACGTGCCTAATTAAAATTTAGCTATTAGTGTTCAATATATAAACGCCAAATTTACAGTTGTCATAGCAAATGAAATTTCGTCAAATTAGTATATCAAATCATTCATCTATGAAAATGTAAGAAATTTGAAGCCGTAACCAACATTACGTTAGCAAAGCCTTTACACAATAAAACCATTAATAGCTACGAAAAGAATAAAACACGAAATTATGCAACTAAAAAATTCATGAAAATTTAGTTAGTTACATTGCTGCAGATCATCATTATAACGCAAATAAAATTGATTTGAAAACACCATGCTTGTGAGACATTTTGCGCTGTGCAACTCTGATTGCTACAAATTCGGGTTCGTACATTTTTTTTTAGATTTCACTGTTAGAATGTTCACTTGTTCGTGCTGTGTCCTTTGTTTAATTTTTATCTCCTTTTATTGCATAAAAATGTCCCTTGTCTAAACGCTTTAGTTTTTTTTTAAGTTGCAAGTTCGGTTTATTCGTTGACTCTATACCTATACCTATACACTAATAAATACATTTGAAATACAAGTTTTTACCGAGTTTATTTTGCTTATAAAGATCTTAAAATAACATGTTTGTGCTACAGAGAAACGTGGTTTCCTTTTTGCAGTTTCAATAATTAAAGCTATTTAGTTAAGAAAATTGAGTGACAAGAAAGTTTCAAAGATTTTGTTTATTCGGCCACGAAAGTCGTCAAAAAAGCCTTGCCAACTTTCATGGTAAAAATCTCTTTTGGCAGAACACACTTGTATGTATTTACGTCATTCTATTCGGGGGATCTGAGGTTCAACTCCTCGGGCAACAGAATTTTGAAATTTCATTGTTTCAAATTGAAATATATTTTTTTAATTTAATTTAATTTTTAGTTACTAATTTTATTTTTTCTTTCTCTTTTACTTTTTCTTTTTATTTTCTTTATTTTCTTTAATTTTTTATTTTTTTGGAACACTTCTTTTTCGTATGTTTAATTATTATATTTGGTTAAATTTGTTTTAAATTTATGTTGTCTTACTAAAAAAAATATATATTATTTCAATTTAAATAATTTTTTGGAATTGATTTTATTTTATTTTTCTTTGTTTCATTAACTTTTTTTTATTTAATTAAATTTATTTTGCATTTAATTTTTAGAAAAATATTTTTTATCGTCTTTTATTTTTATTTTTTATTTTCTAACTTTAGTCTTCTTTTATTTTTTATATTTTATTGTTTTAAAAAGCAACATATTTTTCTAATTCATTTCATTTAATTTTTAGGAACTTATGTATTTTATTGAATTTTTCTTTGTTTGGTTAATTTTTTTATTTATTTTTCTTTACATTTTATTGTTTTAAATTGTAAATTATATAGCTTTCTATTTCAAATTTAGTGAACTTTTAGGAACTTGTTTTATTTTTTCTCTTCTATATTATATTACTTTAAAAAGACAAATAGTTTTTTTATTTCGTTTTAGAAACTTATTTTTGAATTTTCTTTTTATAAATTTATGTTTTCATTTTTCATTTTTCAATTTAATTTTTACTTTTTATTGTTTTAAAGGGAAAACCAAGTTTAGTTTCACAAAAGTGTACAAAACTTGTTACTAAAAGACAACCGGAATAACGCTAAGACCTCCTCGTTCGAAGGACAGAAAAGAGCTTTCAAGGCAGTTGCCAGACTTTTGTCTTGCAGACGACTGTGGCCAGTTGCAAGGCAGTTGGCAGAAATGCTCTGTTAAAATTGCATTGTTCGATGAAGTAAGTCATTGGGGTAACCACGCAACTAAGAGAGCAGAATAAATGCCAGGCATGCCAGTTGAAGTGACACCTTTTCGAAATGATCTCAAGCTCAATAAAATTGTTTAATATAAAGTTTGTTATAAAGTTTTTTTCCTATAAAAATTAAACACTTATAATTTAAAAATTTGCAATAAGTAGAAGATTTTTTCTGACAAAACCGCATTTGGTTTCTCAACATAGCCTTCGCTTAGCTCGACTTTTGTATTCCATTCGAATATGGAAATAGAAGGTTCTCTAAAGGTACTCGAAATAGATTTCTTCAACTGGGATTCAATCCAAAGACCCCAGCAGCCAAAGCCCGTAGTCTGCGGTTGTAGTTTTTGTTGGTCTTTGTTAATAATTCGTAATAATTTTTAGAATGTTTAACTTTTAGGTGTACTCGTACTTAAGTGGCGAACTTAGCTCAGTGGTAAGACTACTGGCTTTGGCAGCTGCGGTCGTTGGATCGAATCCCAGTTGAAGAAGTCTGTGGTGAATTCCCAAATGGCAGTTATAACTTCCACCAAAATGTAAATTGTGGTTTTTCCATACAATTTTTCATTAAAAATGGCCTCAAGCTCAATAAAATTGTTGAATGAATATTCGTCCTTATCTTAATCTTAATTTTAATTTGAAATCCTAATATAATAATCAATCGAAGTTTTAGTCTTTGTCTTAATCCTAATCTTATCCTTAATCTTAGTCTTAGTCTTAATGTTTATGTTAATCTTAATTTTAATCTTAATCAGCTTGATTGCGAGTGTCGTGGTGTCAAGTGCAAGTCGTATTTCAAATGTCCAGTCCTATCGAAAATTGCGTGTCAGTGCCTAAAATTTCGGCACGGCTAAATAGTTTATTAAAAGAGAAAAACTTGGCAGCACTGGATAGTTTTCGACAATTTTCGTCGTCTTTTTATTTCAGTATAACAATTTAGTCTAATATACTATTTACGCAATGATGTTGTATGTTTAAGAAGTTACCAACTCTGTGCCAAAGAAGTTAATTTGTCCAAATATGAAATCCCACATATGTACTTATGAACATATGCTCACTTATTTTACTTTCAGCTGAGTGTCCATATGAATTTTAACAATTTTTTTTTGTCGTGCTGCTATAGATATTTTAAATATATAAATAATATGCTCATGTACATACATATATAAAGCATATTTCATTTAAATATATGCGTATCTATGTACTTGTGCACCATCTTTAATTTTACATCATTAAGCACTTTGCTTTTTCCTAGTGTAATTTCTACAATATGTACTTCTTGTGTAGTTAAAATGTACTTTTGCCATAGCCATACGCGTTTTCTTATAACCAATCACTTTCATTCATTTTTAGGTCAAGTTGAAAATGCTAGCAGTCAGCTAAATCCTATTTTTAAAACCGAGCAAGGCAAATATTTGGCTAACAGTGAGTTCTTAAAGAGATATATGCATATAAACGTGGTGCCGAAGCGCATTTAAAGACGACTTCACCTCTCCCACTCCTTTGCTTTACAGATCTAGCTGACCCACTCATCAAAGCACTCACCGAAATCGCCAATAAGCGACCCGAAGATCCTGTCGCATTCCTTGCTAATTATCTACAAAATTATCTTCATCAACGCGATCCCATAGAGGCAAGCAATAGTGGCAAGACCAACTCGACAGCGCCAATTAGATCCAACTCCCCCTTGTTGCGTCGCACAGGAATGGGTTCTGTACAGGGTGTTTACAATGGTAACAATGGTGGCGATGAAGATCGCATAGAAGAGGATCATATACCGAACGTTGATGAGGAAGATGAAGAAGAAACGCACGCCAATCTCGATGACCGCGATGAACACGGACAAAGTATGCTGCATTTTGCTTGTGCACGTTCCCATCGACGCGGTGCGCTAATGCATCTAATCGAAGAATCGAATATCGATATAACATATCGCGATGAATTGTATCGAACGGCGCGTGATGTATCGCTGCAGGCGAATCAGCCATCGAATGCGAAAGATATCGATCGTTATGTGCTATCGTTGGCTGTGATTGGTAAGTGAGAGGGAGAGAGAGAGTGAGAGCGATAGATAGCGGAAGAGATATATTAATACATGCATATACCTTATCTCCACTGCAGGTGATGTTAAGCCTTTTGAGACACTCGCTGTAGAGGGCTACGATCATATAGTGGATGTTACCGATGACAATGAAGTGAGTATTGTTGACATAGCTGCCGAGCGCGGACATGAGGAGCTTGCTGATTTTCTACGCAATTTACGTACACTGGAGGTGAGTAAATGATATTGGTATTAATGTTGCACTTCGAAAGCTGGCACTTATGTATGCTTTGTTTCGCTTTTTAATACAAGGAACTGCGTGAGGAGTTGCATCAAATGATACGCGATGGCAATGTGGGACGGGCAAAGGAAATAGTTGCCGACCCTAATGGCAAATGGCTCTTGAAAGCCAAAAACTATTATGGTAAGACACAAGCTGGCTTTTTATTAGCTGACAAGTACCGAAGAGATACATGTTTTTGTTTTGATTTTGCTTTCGATCCACAAGGGCGCACTGCTCTGCACATAGCCGTTTTGAAGGAGAACGAGGAACTGGTGGAACACTTTGTGAGTCTGTGTTCAGAGTTGCTGAAAATTGGTGATAATGTAAGTTTGCTTTTTGAAATAATTTTTTTTTTGGCAATTTCTTTTTACGATACAAGGCAAGTTTTTTACAGTATATGCAACAATTTTTTTCTGATATTTTTCCGCAAATTTCTTATAAAAATATGCTTCATTCTACAAAAAAAAACACGAAAATCGAATTTTCATGCAAATTTAAAACTTTTTAATCAGTTTTTTTGGAATTTTTTTTTGAGTATGTAGTTTGGCAGCATATTAAATTCTAGTAAAAAAACTGCAAGTTCGGAGTTAGTCAAAAATCGCATTGATGTTTTTTTGTTGAAGGTGTTTTACATTTTTTCCATATAAAGTATTTTCGATTATTTTTGTATGGAAGAGACTGCGTGAAAAAATTGCCAAAAATTAAAGCTACTTAAAACTTGTACTTTATTATAATAGAATTGTTTGGGCTACAAATCTGCATACAAAAATTCTTACAAATTTGATGAATTTTCGTGAGTTTTGCACAAAGTTTAGGAATGAAATTAAATTTTGCACAAAGCTTGAGACGTAAACTTTTATGTTTTTTGTCATACTTTTATAAAACATTGGCGGAAAAATATTAGAAAAAAAATGGTTGCATATATTGTCAAAAATTTGCTGTGCCAATACTTTTTGCCGGCAGTGTACATATGTATATACATATGTACGTTCATCCAATTTGCAGCTCGAACGCACTGCGTTGCATTATGCCATGGGCACGAACATTGTGGAAAGTTTAAATCGCATACTCATACAAAAAGGAGCCAAGCGTACAACTAAAGATCTGAAAGGACGTCAGCCAACTTATTATTTTATGAATAAAGCCGATATATTGCGTTTGCAAGAGGAAGAGGAGGAGAACCGTTAAGTGGAAATGCTGTGGAGTATGCGAGGTGTTTGTTTTTTTTTTTTACAAAAAAGTGGCTTATTGAAATTCTAAATAGTTAATAGTTGTTTTATATATCTACATAAGTAATGTAGTAAGTTGAGTACAATATAAATACATATCTGTTAAATGACATGCGAGGCGGTGTATAATGCGCGTTGAATACACATGCAAACATACGTATGTATGTAGGTAAAGCTTAAAATTTTACAAAAAAGAAACATAAAAAACGTTCTAGGTAAAGCAAAATTCAAGTTAAAAAAAAAGAATAATTAAAAAAATTTCTTAAATAATATATGATGCTATCTGTATGATGCTATATGTATACTACAAATATGCAGGAATAGCAAAATTTTTTATGTAGTAAAGGAAACCGTAAATTTGTGTCAAATTGTAAGTGGAAATTATAACGAAAATTTGTTTGAATATTTAAAACGGCGTTAAAAGTACCGAAAAAGTAAAATGTTATTAATAAATTTATTAAGAATTAAATATATAATTAAATTAAAAATATTACAGATATATATTTACTCTTAGGGGTAATAAAGTAGCGAAATTGTAGCAAATAAAATTAAACCATAATTTGCGTACACAAAATTGTGTTTAAATATTTATCTACAGGGCCCTCCGAGCCCTTCTATGCAATAGGACTACACGCTATTAGAGAAGAACTTTGGCTGCAGACAGAGCTGAAGCGAAGCCGAAGATGAATTGAATGAATTGATGATAAAGCCGAAAACGAATTGCTTGCGTTGTGGGCAAGCTGGCAAGTGGAGATGAATACGATGTAACACTATTAAAATGGATTTGTCTTCAGATGGAGAATTACTTTGAAATTAAAACCTTTTTCTGCACATAAAATTCCAAGAAAAGAAAAATAGCAATACGATCTTTACCCGTAAAAGATATAAGCGAAATTTTTTTGAAAAATTTTCTTTTTGATGCAGAAATATTCCTAGAGTACGTAGATGCATTTCTACATGAAAAAAAAAATTTTGAAGCAAATTTCGCTTACATCTTATTGGTGGTTATGGATCAAATTCATGAAATTTGGAGAGTTTCACCATTTACAAATTTTTCAAATATACAAGAATGTCAATTAATACGTTTGATATGGCTATGTTAGGAGGTCGCTTCCGTGGGTGAAGTGTGACCCAAGGTGATCAAACTTGAGATTCGTAAAAGTAGGGCACCAGAGCGGTAGGCGTTGAGATGATTTCACCTCACCAACCTCCATGCAGTTGGGTCATTGATGACACTAAGCCAATCACGCAATAGCCAGTCAAAACTCTCACAACTAGCGAGAAGTGTACCCCAATTAGTCCCAAAAGCTCCCTGGACCGCCTTCAATTGCATTCCAAACCAAACGCCCATCTGTCCAGGAGTACACCACACGAGGTCAAGGGAGCACTCAGACCAGCTCTGGCCGGAAACAGCTCTTCAAGCATTCCTTGTATTGCCAGCTGTATTGCTAGCTAGGTTTGACCCAAATAAACTTAATAGTATAACAATCCGATGCGGTATATAGGGTGGTCAAGCAATCCCTCACCGTTATCGATAGCACCATCAGAGAGCCAAGAGCTTTGGTGGCTGCTGGCTGTCGGAATAGAAAGACGTTACATTAGTGAGCAACAAATCCTTCTTGATTTTTTCATCTACCTTAGAGCTCCAGCAAAGCTTGTTGTCAAGGATCAAGCCCAAAACGCCACCCTATCAGAAAGCCTTAGGGGAAGACCGCCCATTGAGGGAAGACGGCAAGTCCTAGTAGAAGTAACCGGATTTTAATTGATTACGAATATCAAGTTTTTCGTTTCTCTGTTGTGTCAATGCCAATTAAAAATGCCAACTGAGGCCGAATGCTTTCCAAGGTTTTCGTCATCTTCCGCTACCACTGATAGTTTAATTCAATCCACTCTATATTTATGTATGGAGTTGCACATCTTGTACAGCTATTGGAAGTGCATAAGGGATCGTTGCTTATATTAGGGAAAAAATTATAAGCGACATATGGAGTGAGCAAGGTATCACTCAGGCAAGCAAGATGGATTCTCTGATAAATTTCAAGACTGACATTTCTATTGGTCTAAAGAAGTCCTCACGTGAGGACCGAGACTCGAGTGCGCGGACTGCGTGCTTGATGATGGCGGCAGGGGATTCTTTGTTTTGCATCCCCTCACCTTTGCAATGGTATGTTTGCACTTCGGTAGCTTAGTGTTCTCGAGAACGTCTACTAGTCGGGTTGAGCCTCATTCCCATTAAGCATTCTGGTATTTCAAGTGAATACCCTTAATCATACATCCATTGGGTGTTTTTCATTTTAATGAGTTCAGCCTTTAAACCTTGTTTGCAGGAGGATAAAGGTATGCCCGAAGCTTGTGCAGAATTGGCTTCGGATATTTGCATTACTCTCCTTGCCAGCTCGTCAGCTATGCATTTGCCAGGAATGTCCCTATGCCCAGGGACCCGTACAAATGTCAAGTAGATTTTTATACAAACAGGTTGAGACCGATTCCTCATTATATGGGAACATTAGACGTTTATTCCGTTAGGTTTTAAAGATTTAATATCAGCTCGGCTGTCAGAATGCTCGGCCGTCCCGGAGGGGTCGTCCAAGTACACCATTTACCATTTCAAACTAGAAATTTCCCCTTCCTGTGGGAAGTATCTCATGACTATGATCTTCACATGATTGCTGCCCTGGGATGATTGATTTCATGCTCACGAAGCATGGCAGCAGAAATAATTTCAGTGTCCGGTACCTGAAACATCCATGTAATACAATTTCGACGACGTTTTTATACCTTTACGAAAATGTAGCAAAATGATAGACAGTATACGCGCACAAAATAAGAGAAGACTCACGGGGTAATTTCCTTAGACTTGAGTGCCAGTTTAATCTTACCAACCCAGTACTATAGAACATCAGAGACCTGAGTACGGTATAAGGGAGCTGAAAATCTTATTTTACCACCAAATATGTAGCAGTTCTAACAGCCTTTAGATGGCGTGAAGGTGTGAAGGTTAAAATAATAGGTCTTTTTTGACTTAAGTGTGCTCACCATGTCCCAACCTATTTAGCTTAATATGTAGCCATATCTGCTAAGAGTTTCAACTATTTGGTAACCTACGCTTCGAGGAGCCAGGAGTCAACCGCTCTTGTCCAAACAAGAAACTCTGAAAGTGCACTTGAAGCAAGTACTTTAGAGACTGAAAGTCGTTGCTGACTGAAATAAAGTAAGTATAGAAAAAGTTATTTAAACATATAATTTGCTGTTTTCTAACCATATTTTTTTTTTTTAGTTTTGAAAAGCCTCTTAACTACTTACCAAGTATATAAGTAAAGACAATTTTACTTAAAGAGTACTCAATTATTTATAGTTAATATATTACACTGTTTAAGTACCCTGGCCAGCAGCAAAATAAGCACTTAAAACGTTGGCATCAATCACTTAAATTTTATAAGTATATTACCAAGAAAAGTCTCGAAATATATACTCTAGTCTTAAAGCACATCGCCCAAATGGTTGGCAACAACAAGCAGCTAGAAAAACATGTACGATGCAGGAAAAAGCTAACAACAAGGAGGCTGATGTAGTAGCGAATATCGAAAGATATGAGTAGAATACTTAAATACAAATACATATGTATATATATATAACAAAATTTATAACAAAATATATAACAAAATTATAACAGTTACTACCGTGCTAAGCGAAAGTGTTTGCTTCAGATATTCCCACACACATTTATTTTTTCAAGTTTATCAATAAATAAATCATTACATATTTACTGGTAAGTGCTGAGGCCCGATAGTGCTGCGATTAAAGAAGAAAAAAATAGTTGTTAAGGATAGGTTTTACTTTGAGAGATGACTTAAAGTTTTTTATTTGTATACCAAATATACGAGTATTAGTAGTTTGTGTGTCTGTAGTAGTAAAGGCGCCGGTTGAAGTGTTTATAAGTTATAAATAAAATAAACTAGAAAAAAAACAGCTGATAGTCTGATGAAATGTGGTAGTGCTATGAGTAGATGTAAGTACTATATAAGTAGCTATGTAATGTTTCGCGTTTGGATAATGCTTACAGTTAGTGGTAAATGAAAGCTAAAAATGAAATTAAACTACTAAAATTAAGTGTGGTTTTCAGGTGAAAGAAAATCAAATGCAATATGTACGTACAAAATTACTCGTATTTGGATTAGTAGTAATTAGGGATGTGCCGAGTATCCGGTAGATATCTGGAATCCGTTTTATTCGGTCGCTTTCCTGTTATCCGAATATCCAATCGGATACTGGATAGAATCCCACCGGATTTCTGGATTTCGATTATAGAAGATTCAATTTAAAAATTTAGTTCAGGATTTTATTTTTTTTATAGTATCTAATTAGTAATTACAGTTAAGAATTTGTATACCTTTCATTAGAAAAAGAAGCATTCCTGAATTATCGGGCAATAACCTATTTCTATTTTTAAATAAATGCTACCCGATGCACTAAACACTCTTTCTGAGTTTACTGAGGAAGGTGGTGCGCAAAAAAAATACTCAATCGCCAGTGAATTAAGTTTGGAAAATTCTTTGCAATTATGCTCCCACCAAATCAAAGGATCCCCTTATAGCTGTAAATATTTCTCTATTTTTAAATCGCTGACTTTTTTCTTGTACGGTCGCTGCCTTGTCTACCCATCGTTTGACTATCCATATCACTATAAAAACTGGAATCAACACCAGAACCGTTGGCGATTTGCTCAAAGCATTGCTTAATATCCTGGTGTAGGGATGAAACGATACGAGTAAATACAAGTACATACTCGATACTTTTCGTTCGATATCAAGTCATTGTTTTCTGATTTATGTCCATAAATGTTACATACGAAAAGTTCTGCGCCGGTTCCTTCCATGTATTTTTACATAGGGCGTGTCCAGAAATGCTTCAGGCCAAAGCATTAGTCTGTTTTATTTCTGAACTACAATTGATGGAATGTTGTGAATGATAGTGGAAAGTAAAATACTGAAAAAAACGAATGGTAAATCCAGTGATAATGTTCAGTGACCAAAGGTCGGCAAATCCCGTCTACTTTACCTGCTCACGTAAGTATATGTATGTTTATGCGTTCTTAATTTGATATTATTGTTTTATATTGACCGCGATAAAGCTCTTATAATTTTCCTGAACAGAGATTTGCATGCAGCATGTGTATTAGGCATATGACTTTTCAACTTTTTTTTTTTGGAAAAACTAAATC